AAGGTTAACCTCGATAGGCCTAAGGCAAAAGCTACAGACCTTTTCCTCCACCTGTCCCTCCAGTCAGCTCCCATAGCTACCCATTCCCGCTTCTCTGTGCTTGATTCGGAGTCGGAGGAAGAGTGTCACATTTCTCCCGACCATCTGGGAGCGTCGTCCAGCTCTCCTTTTGATGATGATGATCGGTTAGCGGATGAGATAGAGTCCTCCGTCTACCCATTGTGTATCGAGCCCCCCCTTTCCTCCTCAGCCCTCATGATCATAGAGCCCTCTCACCACCTTCGCTCTCTCCCTTGCCCACCAGCTCGACCCCTTCTGACCCTCCCTTCCACTTCCCCCTCATCCCCCACCAGTGGGTCTGGTCCGTCTTCCCCACAGGGCCAGGCGCGGGGCTCCGAGGGATTGGAGCACCTCCAGCTCATCCTTTTACCCCAGGAGTCTCCCCCTATACGAGGGGGACCCTTACAGGAGATCCCGGAGCACAGGAGACCACAGACCAGATCGATGACTGCTCAGCTCTCTGCTAGCCGAGCTCTGACCCTACCAGACATTCAGACACAGCCTAATCACGGACAGCTCCAGTTAGGCGGTCCCACTGACGTTTGACATGTCAGTTACATCACTTACATGGAATGCCCGTGGTCTGGCTAATAAGACCACCCTTGCTCATGTTAGATCTCTCATTCGTGAGCATAACCTTGACTTTGCGGCTTTTTTAGAGCCTATGACTCGTGACCCTTCTTTTGACGTATATTCGCGCCGCCTTGGCTTTCACGCCGGGTTGGGTAACACCTCTAACAAGATTTGGTTTTTCCATTCACGTGAATTTACTTGTCAGATCCTTCGAGATACTGATCAAGTCTTGCACGTGAAGCTCACTGCCGACCATCTTCCTGAGCCGATCTTCCACACTTTGGTTTACGCCAGCTGTGCGAGGGTTGGTCGCTATGACCTCTGGGACACCATGCGTGAGATTCTGAGAGTATGGAGGGATTACCGTGGATGATTAGCGGTGATTTCAACATATTCTTGCATCCCGATGAATGCATTGGTGGTATATCGGACCGCTCTGTGGAGATCTTAGATTTCTCGCATGCGGTTTTGGATTGTGAGCTCATTGATGCTGGGTACGAAGGGGCTCCCTTTACGTGGGAGAGGGCTGGAGTCAAGGAGAGGCTCGATCGCGCTCTCTACTCAGAGGCGTGGACGAGGGTGTTTGCGACCACGGTTGTGACGCACCTCCCTCGAATTGGATCTGACCATGCCCCCCTTCTGATTCGGTGTCGGTTCTCTATTTCCCCTCGGCGAGCGTCCTTCCGTTTCCAGAACATGTGGGTTCGCCACCATTCTTACTACGATACGGTTAGAGCCTCATGGCAGCAAGCTACGCACCTCTATGGGATGCGCAGCCTGGAGGAGAAGCTCAAGAGACTCCGCTGCGTTTTGAAGCAGTGGAACTGGACGATTTTTGGTGATATCTCTCAGCGCCTTACTGCAGCTCAGTTTGCGTATGCGGAGGCGGAACGGACCTATGATTTGGATTTTTCGCCAGAGAATAGGTCCGAGATGCGCCGATGCCAGGCTGAGTACCAGTTGCGCCTCCTCATGGAGGAGGATTTCTGGAAGCAGAAGGCTGCTGTGCGCTGGGTGGCTGATGGGGAGCGTAATACCAAGTTCTTCCAGGGATTCGTGAGACAGAAGCGAGTCAAGTCGTATATCCATAGTGTCGAGGATAACGGGTCATCCGTGACCCAAGAGTCCCAGATACGGAAGTCGGCTAGGGCTTTCTTCCACTATCTCTTTTCTTCTAAGCGGGATTTACTTACGCATCCTGACCCGACCCTTTTTCCGACCATCCCGCAGTCGGTCGACCTTGTTGACCTCTGCGACCTCCCGAGTAAGGAGGAAGTCAGGGAGGCTGTGTTTGTGATAGATCCCAACAGCGTCTCCGGTCCGGATGGTTTTTCGTCCCTCTTCTTCCAGTCTTGCTGGGAGATCATGGGTACTGACATTGAGGAAGCTGTGAGGGACTTTTTCTCTGGTCATCAGATGCCTGAGTCCTTCACGGCAACCTCCATCATGTTGATCCCGAAGAGATCGGGACCTAGTACTTGGTCTGACTATAGACCTATCAGCTTATGCAACGTGACTAATAAGATCATCTCTAGAATCCTCAACAGTCGCCTCGCCCCTCTCCTCCCCCACCTTGTCTCTCCGAACCAGAGTGGTTTCATCAAGGATCGAGTCATTAGTGATAATATCCTTCTGGCTCAGGAGATGATACACGACATCTCTCATGCGAATCGAACACGAACCCCGAACCTCGTGCTGAAGCTAGACATGGCCAAAGCATATGATAGGGTTGAGTGGTCGTTTCTCAGAGAGGTTCTGTCTCAGATGGGATTTCCTAACCGCTGGATTAGCTTTGTGGAGGCGTGTGTGGAACACTGCACATTCTCCGTTTTGATTAATGTTAGCCCCACGACCTTTTTCCCTTCTACCCGCGGCCTTCGTCAAGGAGACCCCCTTTCCCTCTCCTTTTTTGTTCTAGTGGCTGACTACCTCTCTCGTTGCCTTGACGGCTTCATTCGCGATTTTCCGAGGATGACCTACAGCACGCATGGCTGTGGGCCTTCCATTTCACACCTTTCTTACGCGGATGACATTATCATTTTCACTCGTGCGAATGATAATGGGCTAGTTGCTCTCATGAGTCTTTTGGACCACTACAGTGAGACATCTGGTCAGCTAGTCAGTGTTAGTAAGAGTTCTTTTATCATGGACCACCACGTTGCTGATCATTGGGCTCACCAGATTCACGAGCGTACTGGATTTGCTCGTGGGGACTTACCAATCCCTTACCTTGGGGCTCCCTTGTACAAAGGCCATCTTTCCCATGAGCTTTTTATTGACGTCCGTCAGAGGATGATTGACCGGATCTCTGGCTGGTCCCATAGACACCTATCCTTTGGAGGCCGACTTGCTCTGATCAAGAGCACTCTCTGTGCCCTTCCTCTTCACCTTCTCGCGGTGCTTGACCCCCACCAGTCTACGATTCACGAGTTAGATCAGATCTTAGCCCGCTATTTTTGGAGC